TCTTTTTAAAAATAAAACGAAACTTTACTCTGATAATATCATTTTATTTTAAAAGACAGTAACTGAGTTAAAGTCCGGAAATTAACCATTATAAATTATAAATTATTTCCTAGACAGTAGAAAAGATATAAATTTATTTTTTCAAATCATTAGCTGTCACCAAAGTTCTATTGCATTGACATGTAGCTTAGTTTAAATTCATGTCTGGGCCAAATCCTTGGGGGAGGGCAGGGGTGGGGGAATGGGGGGGCGGTCTTCAGAGTAGAGGGTGGTGGATGCACCAATGCCATTGTATAATTTATTCTCACTAAAAATTAAAAACAAATTAATCATTTATTGGGTTTAACATAACTGTTTACACAGAATGTTATAAGACTTGTACATTGCGTAAGAAATATTTATTATGTTCTAGCTTTTTGATCTATTTTAAATTTACGAGTTGTACTTTACAAATCGTGTATAACACTAATACGTGAAATATGGGATGATATACATTTGAAATGTTTGAATATTTCTTTTGCTTAGGGACATATGGCATTTTGATCAGTAAAATTATTGAGGTCACGGTTAAACAAATGAACTGATCACTATTGAGGGGAGAAGATGTGTAAACAGACGGATAGCATGACAGCCGGTAGAGCCATGGAAATGTCCCAAGTTTGATGTTTTTCTCACCCTGTGAGTCATTAAAACTGTGTCAATGTACATTTGACATTTACATTATAAACACGCAAAAAAAAAAAAATGAAGTACTTAAACCAATTATCACTTTTTGTCTGTGGTGGACTTTAATATCCTGCTTCGAGTTTTGGAACCGTCCATTCGAAGTTTTGCGGGGTTTTTAAAATCAATTACGATGTAAGAACTCAGCTGCCAATAATATTGAGGCTGGTATGATAACAAGGAAGTGTCCGATTTTGTACTGGTGACATTAAGTATTTTATGATCCTCATAAGCACTTACAGGCATAATTATGTTTTGTTTGTTTTTCTTTTGTTATTTGTGTCTATCTTGTTTAATGATGTATATATTATGCATCAAATGTAACTGACAAATGAGTTGTCCAAATCATATATTATACTATTGTATACAATTATACATGTATAGCTTTGTGCACTTTATAAGATATTTACCATAAACATTTAAGGCCTTTTCCAACACATGATTTAAAATTACTTCCCAATTTTTACAGTATTAAATTGGAATATATTCACAAATAATGGCATAATGGTACTAATTTTACAAACTCAAAAGGACCAAAACCTATTCCAAAAAGACTAGAAAAAACCACCAAGTAGCATTCAAAACTTATACCAATATGAAGTATAATGCTGATATTGTTACGGAAACGTCCTCAGCTGCCAATTCATAATGTTTTATAAAAAAAATAAACTCCTACGTAGGAGATAAAAAAGCCTAATTAGGAGTTTGTAACTCCTACGTAGGACTTTGTAACTCCTACGTAGGACTTTGTAAGTCCTACGTAGGACTTTATAAGTCCTACGTAGGACTTTATAAGTCCTACGTAGGACTTTGTAACTCCTACGTAGGACTTTATAACTCCTAAGTAGGAGATAAAAAAGCCTAATTAGGAGTTTATAACTCCTACGTAGGACTTTTAAACTCCTACGTAGGACTTAATAACTCCTACGTAGGAGATAAAAAAGCCTAATTAGGAGTTTGTAACTCCTACGTAGGACTTTTAAACTCCTACGTAGGACTTTGTAAGTCCTACGTAGGACTTTATAACTCCTAATTAGGAGTTTATAACTCCTACGTAGGACTTTTAAACTCCTACGTAGGACTTTATAACTCCTACGTAGGAGATAAAAAAGCCTAATTAGAAGTTTGTAACTCCTACGTAGGACTTTTAAACTCCTACGTAGGACTTTGTAACTCCTACGTAGGACTTTGTTACTCCTACGTAGGACTTTAAAACTCCTACGTAGGAGATAAAAAAGCCTAATTAGGAGTTTATAACTCCTACGTAGGACTTTTAAACTCCTACGTAGGACTTTATAACTCCTACGTAGGAGATAAAAAAGCCTAATTAGGACTTTATAAGTCCTACGTAGGACTTTGTAACTCCTACGTAGGACTTTATAACTCCTACGTAGAATACCTATCAAAGAACTGAAAGCACAGAGTTCGACGGACATGTATGCTAGAGTATAACTAGAGTATAACTTAAGATAGCATATTATGTAGGAAAATAAATTATATGAGCCGCGCCATGACAAAACCAACCAACATAGTGCATTAGCGACCAGCATGGATCCAGACCAGCCTGCGCATCCGCGCAGTTTGATCAGGATCCATGCTGTTCGCTTACAAACCCTATAAGTAGAGAAACTGATAGCGAATAGCATGGATCCTGATCAGACTGCGCGCGTCGCAAACCCACTATGTTGGTTTTGTCATGGCGCGGCTCATATGTGTCAAGTTGTAATTGTGGCAAGCCACTTTAGTAAATACCTTTAAATTTAGTCTGTAGCCAGAGATGATTTTGTCATTCTCTGCATATATTAAACGATGATTCTGTATTATGTACGTTTAGTTATATTTATTATACACATGTACACAAAATGTATGGGTTAAACTTTGTTCAAAGTATGATATACAATGTAATTCATTATTAAACATATGCATGCATAATGCTCCGCAAACGGTTATCTTCTTAAACTTTACGGAGCAGGAACAAGACAATTCACTACCCCTAACTAAAAAGTCCTACGTAGGAGTTATAAAGTCCTACGTAGGAGTTAAAAAGTCCTACGTGGGAGTTTAAAAGTCCTACGTAGGAGTTATAAACTCCTAATTAGGCTTTTTTATCTCCTACGTAGGAGTTTTAAAGTCCTACGTAGGAGTTATAAAGTCCTACGTAGGAGTTTTAAAGTCCTACATAGGAGTTATAAAGTCCTACGTAGGACTTATAAAGTCCTACGTAGGACTTATAAAGTCCTACGTAGGAGTTATAAACTCCTAATTAGGCTTTTTTATCTCCTACGTAGGAGTTATAAAGTCCTACGTAGGAGTTAGAAAGTCCTACGTAGGAGTTTAAAAGTCATACGTAGGACTTATAAACTCCTAATTAGGCTTTTTTATCTCCTACGTAGGAGATAAAAAAGCCTACGTAGGAGTTAAAAAGTCCTACGTAGGACTTACAAAGTCCTACGTAGGAGTTTCAAAGTCCTACGTAGGAGTTACAAACTCCTAATTAGGCTTTTTTAACTCCTACGTAGGAGTTTATTTTTTTATAGAACATTATGAATTGGCACCAGGACGCTTCCGTATATTGTGGCTCTTGACAGTCAAGGGAAAAAAAACAACATTTAACTGTTCATACATAAAAATACTTGTGTTGAAATGTGACAGGAAAATCTAGCCTATGTTAAATGATATCATTGATATGTGTTAAAAGAAAGGCAGACATAGGATTACATTTGTTAAATTGAACGATAGAAAATGTCTACCTTACAAGTGTTAGAAATAGTTTATATAAATCAACAATTAATGGAACAATAGAAAATGTCTACATAACATGTTGACACGCAATAATAAGCTTATAGACATATTTTTGAATCCAGTCCTGAGCGTTATGAGTGTTAAGTTTCTTGCTCAAAGAAACAACTTCCCTCTGACAGGGTTTGAACCCATGTGGCTGGCGATCATTAGATTACTATAGTATAGTCCGACGCGTTAACCACTCGGCCATGCAAAGTTGTTGTACCCTGGGATGAGATTGGGGAAGAAAAAAAACAACATTTTCCAAATAAATTCTCGAGTATCTCTATTTGTAATATGGCAAGACTTTTAGTCTAGTATAAAAGAGCCTGCCAAGAGACTTTGCTATGTGGCTTACTGCCATGATCCCCAACACCACCACCAGCTATCAGCTTGATACCAGTCCAGGTACATGTATAGAGTATCTCATTGTCTTTGACACTGTCAGTGTTTGACATTCACCTTTGAATTTGTGACAATTGGATAAATTTAGAAAACAAAGCAGACTACATTTTAGCAGACGACATTATTTCCCAGCATGCAAGGGATATTTACATAGTACCAGTCTGTTCTTCAGCAAATCAGCTCTAGATTTTACTTTGACCACTAAAGTTCAATTTGGATATAATTAAAAAACCAAAAAAAGTTCTTAAATATAGTGAGACAAATTTATGAAATACCTCCAGCTTTGTTCTATATTTATTTTAAAAAGCCTTGCCATTGTTTTTTTGTTTTGTTGTTTTTTGGGTTTTTTTGTATATAAAACAATAAAAAGATTTTAGGGCACATCTGGAATAAAAACCATTTCATTTTATTTTTTCAGTTAAAAAGATACCTGAATTTACTCTCAGGTGTCCCTACAATATATCAAAATACAATTGACTTATGTGGCCTAAAATAAAAAGAAGCTTTTCTTTTAAAATGAGCTCAATCACATATTTGAGTGTAAAAAGAAAACGATATTCTGTTAAGGGGAGATCATCCTTGAGTAAAGACTAAAGAACCCAAAAATAAATACATAAAGTTGATCATTGCTGACTTGGCTTTACCAAGCCTGTATATGGGAGATAAGAGAGCATTAAATCTTCATGCCCCCCCCCCCACCCTCCTGACCCTACTTTGCAGCTAAAGCAATCTTTAACACCAAAAGTACTGGAATAAAACAGATGAAGGGATGTAAACATGTACAAATTGGAGTAATGGAGATCCCCCCCCCACCCCCCAAAAAAAAGATACCGGTATGGAAACATGGTAAACATATAAAAAATTTGAGAAAAGGGTATTTTCCCAAGGACATGATAGGTCAACAAGCAAAATCTGGAGTAAATGCATTTTTGGTTTAATCACATACAACAAAGAGCGGTTTCTAAGTTTTTAAGTAGGTCCAAAATACATTTTTGAGACAGTCGTTTTGGCTTAATAAGCAACTTCCTTATGACAACCATGTAAACTTGTGGCATAAAAAACATTTCAATAAAAACTTTAAAAGGACCTACCTCTAGAAGCATACTCATGGCTTTCCTTTTACCGTCACCTTTATATTTGCTTCATTTCTACGACGACGACAACAACAACAAAATATTATTATGCCAATGATAACGAGAATCAGACCTACACCACCACCGACAGAAGCGGCTATTATAGTTGTTAAATCTAATTTTTCAGCTTCCTCTTCCGACTTCTTGCACAATTTCACTCCATCTTTTGTCTGACTGTCAGATTCTTCAGTGCCTTCCGGACATTCGGCAAGACATGTTTTATTCTGATCGGACTCATCTACGTATTTACATACGGTGCAATTTTCCTTATTGTCACATTTACGACATTTCTCGTCACAGTCGTCACATTGCAACGTATCATTATTATACCATTCCCCTATATCACATGATTTTATACAATAAAGAACACTGATGCTATTTTCAGAATATGGCGATAGCGTTGAATTTTCTGTTGCCATGGCTTCTGTTGTTGTTGTTATATTAGTTGTTGTTTCGTTGGACGCTGAACTGGATTTTTTCTCACAGTTTATAGGTTTTGACATATTAATAAGAAGGTAATCTTGTGGACATGCTGACGTACAGTTGTCCATTGACTCTTGAAAACAGGGGCAACAACTCTTAGCAGTATTGTTTCCATCCTGGCATTTTGGAATTTCATCCTGAAAATGTAAAAATTGTTAAATCATCCAGCATTTCTTTTTTTTTAATTTCTTTGGCAACAACTCCAGCCACGGATATATAAAGAAATTAGAGATATTAAACAAACCTTTTTAGAGGCTTGCATGGAAGATTTGGAAACCAATTGTATAAAGCCTTGATAAGTGAAGCCCATCCTTCCGCCCTCCCTTATCTCAATCACTCCCTTAATCCCTCACCCTACTTCACCTTGACCTTCACCTCAAAGGTGACACAATGAATATAAATGGATTTTTTTTGGTATAAAAAGTCACAATATGCCTATAAAATTGGGCTGGTTTCAATTTTTTTTCCAATTGAGAATTTCAAAAACTTTCTAAACCCCGATTATTTTAGAATATTTTGCCAACTGGGAAATTCTATGTAATTAATCATCATAATTTTGAAAGTTTGAATGCTACAGATTTTTATGAACATTGTGAAAATTGTATGAAAATTGTATGTAAAATATTGTGAAGTAAACAAAGAAGGTAATTCACACATACAATCTATGTTAATTACCAAAATGAGGTCAAAATATGCAAAAAAAAATGCCCAATTACTGTGTTAGTCACTTAGTATAAATATGGTGATAAATACTGCAAAATCAGTCAATAATTGCACATAACATGTAAATTACTACTGGAATCTTGAATATTTTTACTTTTCTTAGAATTTTCGCTTTTTCTATGTTTGATTTTCTTGAAATATTTTTACTCATTTGGAGGCATGATGCTTTAAACAAACATATTGTCACCTTCATGCAGAAACCAGTTAACTCCATATATAATTTATTAGGAGTTAACCTGTTACTGCACTAAGATGACAATATAAAGACGTTTTGCTCATAGCAAGATTTTCCTTAATTAGATATGACAGTACTTCAAACTTTCATTGTTGTGTAAGTGTATTTCATAGAAACAACAACAATAAATCATACATGCATTAATTAATGAAGACTGTCCGTTATAAATGTAAACTAGGAAGATAAATTAACATGAAAATAAAGCCACACAAGTTATTCTTGTACAAAATGTAATAAATTGTCTATAAGTTTTATTACACTTGAATAATGACAGGCAAGGTTGACTATATAAACAAATGTAATACAATATAGAAATACCTTGAAGCCCATGTTACAAAACAAAAATCTTAAATAGATCTATAAACTTAGATAAAGGTTTGAATATTATTTACACAAAACACAACTTTCTACTATAAAGTTGATCAACAGGATAAAAACTTAAAACAACAACAAAAAACAACAATTTATTCACCACTAAAATAATGTACATGTACATTGCTACTAAATCTTTGCCTGCTGAATTTTTTTGAACCAGCTTAGGTGAGCTAAAGGCTTCAAACCTTCTTCCCAATCAAACTTTATTGATAATGTTCAAAGACAGATTGAGCAAAAGCATGAAGAAAGACAAAAGAAAAATCTGAAACTATATATCATGATTAGAAATTTTGCTTTTAAATGATTTGAGATAAATTGTAATTGTAAATGTAAAATGTTTGATTTCTTTCAATCTTTGTGTACATAAAATGATTCACTATCAGCCATTACACCTCAGGAAGTTTGTAAAAATTACTGATAAAAGTTGGGTTATTTTGATAACATGACCCAAATGAAAGATAAAAAATTATTAACTAATATCAACACGTGGACTACATGTATACGTTTTCATGCAGACCATATACTATATGTGTAAGAGTTTAAATGAAATTTATTATGCATTAAGTGCCTGAAACGTCAGGCAAAGATTTTAAAGGATCAGGATCAAATTTTAAAAAAAATTCTCATAGTATTACATGAAATATCTAACATTAACTTGATAAAACTTGACTTGAAATAACATGTTTATAAAATTTTAATTTTTTTTACAAGATAATGGCTTTTTACAATTGATCCAAATATTGATTTTGATCTTAAAATTTATCCTTATTTTGATTCAGTTATTTTTGTATTTGTTTTGTTTGTCGTCATTTGATCTTGAACCTGATCTTTTCTTAGTTAACATGAGGCCAGGTCTTTTATAAACTCAGACGTAATATGGCAGGAGAACATTTGTTAAACTATGGTATCTATAAATAACTCCCATTATGGCAAGTGTTTTCCCAGGCTATAATAAATGTGTTTAAAATACAAAGAAATAATAAATATAGAATAATACATGTAGATATATTTTTATCAGTATTACATTCTTATTATACATGTATAATTATATCACCAGAATTTGAATAAATAAATTACACTTAATCTTTTCAACCATTCGCAATAAACCATCCCCCCAACAGCACCACCAGGAATACAGAGTCTTTGACGTTTACATGGTGAATCCCTAAGTAAATGCCTTTTAATGGACTTGTCTAAAGGCAATGGTCATTGGCAATTAAGACTGCAAAGATTCCACAAATGTTCAGTTTGATTTGGTTTCAATTCAGGTCAACCAATTCAATTCTTTTCGATTTGATATTAAGATATGTTTTCGGCGTATCTTGTCTGAAGTTGGTAAGTGCAACTGACATGAAAAGAAAGATTCTGATGTGCTTAAAAAAATGAAGATTAAGTTTGGAAAAAAGTCAGAAGTTTTAGTGTACTGGTTATTGTTACTTAACCTCGCGAAACCCGAAGTATTCCTACACACTTTATTTAAGTTTTTTTTTAGTTTTTTTTTAGATTTAATTTTTCTACTTTTGAAATCTAAAGTCACTCTGATTTGCTTACCGAAAATACAGCAATATTAATAGTCTATACACTTTCTGATAAGATGATTAATTTTAAAATAACCAAATAACCAATCATATAATGTAACATAATAAATTGGTAGACTAGTCAGAGGGGGACTAAAACTCACATTTTTTCAATGTTTATTTTTTGTTACAAATTGAATTGAAATTGTGAAAATTGACATTGGAAAACAAATCGGAACCCACAAAACCAGTTTTCGATGCAATGGAACTAATAGTTGCATCTCTAAAGGCAATAATTCCAATAAATGCCCCTACACTGAGCGGTACAACCCAGTGACAAAGATGATTGGTCCCCAATCTGTAATTTCATTGTCAAGCATGATTCTATGTCTGGTTTTCTGTGTAAACAGCTATTAGTTATGGTCAAGTGTTTTAATTGTCATCTTTTTTCTAAGAATTCCTTGATCAGTTGCTTATTGGTTGCCCAGGTTGTCGATTATTTGTAAAATATTTTTACCAACGGAGAATTTTAAACACGTCAAAAATCTCATATAATAATTTTACACCAATAAAATCCTATCTATCCCCAACAGCAGTTGAAAGGTAGAAACCAGGTAGCCAATTGCTGCAGATATGGGTGTTATATAGGTTTTCATTGATTCATTCCATAATAAAAAAGAAATCTACTCATCCATCACTGGTAGCTCTGTGTAACTGGGGTGTTACACCATATTCTCTAATAATCAAATGCCATTTGAAAACTACAATGATCATGCAGTACACATGTTACCCCTCATGGAAGATTAAAACTGTGCTTATTCCCCTACAGAAATCCAATTTCTAGACCAGAGATACAACTGAATGTGCATAAAGGATTGTTTTGTTTGCTTTTCTTCAAATGTCAACCCCTCTTATCTAGATACTCCAAGTCATTCAATATCAATTCCGATTCCTAAGTATCCTAAATGTGCCACTCACTTGTATTTTATACCTGTACTCCCATCTTTGTAATCAGGCAAGTGACAAGGTGATATGGTGGCTAATTTGTGCCAGGTCATAATATTGCTTCACGAAAATACGCAAGTAAGACAAAGTAATCAACTTGTCATATTTTAGTGTTTTCCATTTTCCCTCCAAGGGATACCACAGAAAACCAAGAAAGTACAACAATATGAAACTTTTGCTGAACATAAGCTCTGTGGGGCGCCAAGCAAAAAAACACGAAAATTTGACAAATTTATGTATGTCCGCAAGCATTATTCCCAGGACTCACAATGGGAAATTAAAACAAAAATTTTTTATCCAAAGACAAACCGTTTTTTTCCCGGCCAAAAAATTTTAGAAAATTTTACTATTAAGTTTGAGTCAAAGTATTAATATAAAATACAACCAACCTCAAGTAATTCTCCGTTTGTTGAATTGTTATAAAAATTTTTAAATTTATAATAAAAAAAGTAAAAATATGCTTTCAAATTTTTGGTAAAGTTCTAGTTTTATTTTTTAAAATAAAAGAAGTACCAGATTGCTTAATAAGAAATTTTACCCACAAAACGGTGACGGAGTCAAAAAAAAGTAAACAGAAACCCAAAAAAGTACACTGAAATTAAGCCTTTTTAACACCCTTTTTTTAAAAAATTTGCCCCGTCCCAAAATCATAGTTAAATCCAAAAAATTTATCAAATATTTACACATATTGGGAATTTTTCGTATGAACTTTTTGTGACGCATTGTTTGTAACAAGGAAGTTTGAAACTTCTTAAAACTTTTTAACATGGCCGCTTACATCAATCTAGATTGCGGGAAAATTTTCGGCCGCTTCTATCATACATAACATTTTATTCAAATTTTCGGCCCTCGGATGCCGAGCATTGTAGAATCAGATTCACGAATTCGAAAACCTAGCTAAACGCCGTTTTCCGGTACTTTCTGTACATAGCTCTGGGGAATTCACCTAATAGAGTGTAATAGCGAACTCGATGTTTTCGGCCTTTTTTAAAATTAAATTGAAATAAAACAGTTATTTCTTTATAAGAAAATAATTAAATATCATTGTATGAATAATTCCATACAAAAAATAAAGTAAATACACAAGTTTACGCCGAAAATAACCTTATTTATTATGGAAGATTCCACTACGTCGGTTTAAATTTTATTGATTTTCATTTTAAACAACTTATTTTTTTGAAAAATTTGCAATATATATTAAAGGAATATTGATAATTTTCAATAACATCAATTCTTTTCACCTTAAACGGTAAAATAATGAAAGAAAAATAGAAATATCATGTAACTGTGTTATGTTCTTCATTTGGTGTAATTCCCCAGAGCTAAATCGGTAACGTACCGGAAAACGGTGTTTAGCTAGGTTTTCGAAAAGGTCAATTGATATTGAAATGAAAAGCACGAACTCTCCGCAAAACTGATTTTTTTTTTCATGGTTATAAAAAAATTAACTAAAAAAAATGTATTATGCACAGGAAAAAGTACATATGACTTCAATATTTCCGAGATTTTTTTTAAATATTTGCATATACTGTTTATCTAGAATTTAAATAGTTACTTACTATTCACTAGTATTTAGATCTTATTTAGACCCCCTTCTCCCATTTCCCCACCCCCTTAACCATTACAGTCCTTGTCCATTTAAATCCCATATGGGCCCATTTTAATTTTTTATTATTTCACACACTACGTACGTACGTGTCCCTCTCCTACTTTCGCCGCCCTAAATTATGACCACTCCCGGTTTTGGTTCGGTGCCTTCTGGGTGCCCTGCTGTTGGTGGTTTGGGGTGTGTCGGGGGCTGCGCCTGTGAACGTTGCCTTCGCTTTGTTGGTCTTTATTCTCGTTTTTTTAGAACAATCATGAAATGAGGTTGAGAGCCAATTAACAACAAGGAAATGGCATACTTTTAAAGTCTATACTCTGATAAAGCGACAGGCAACTCTTTGTCCTGTTTTTATGCTCCCCGAAAAAATTTCGGGGGAGCATATAGTCGCCGCCTTGTCCGTCCGTCCGTCCTTCCGTCCGTCCGTCTTTCCGTCCGTCCGTCCGTCCGTCCGTCCCCTTTTCTTGTCCGGGACATAACTTTGAAACAACAAGAGGTATATACATGAAACTTTGTAGGTAGATAGATCTCATTGAGTAGGTGTGCAGTGCACAAGAACCGTAACTCTGCCTTGCCTAATTTTTGAATTACCCCCCTTTGTTTATTTTACACTTTGAAATTTGTCCGGGACATAACTCTAAAAGTATAAGAGGTATCAACATGAAACTTTGTAGGTAGATAGATCTCATTGAGTAGGTGTGCAGTGCACAAGAACCGTAACTCTGCCTTGCCTAATTTGTGAATTATCCCCCTTTGTTTATTTTACACTTTGAACTTTGTCCGGGACATTACTCTAAAAGTATAAGAGGTATTCAACATGAAACTTTGTAGGTAGATAGATCTCATTGAGTAGGTGTGCAGTGCACAAGAACCGTAACTCTGCCTTGCCTAATTTTTGAATTATCTCCCTTTGTTTTATTTTACACTTTGAACTTTGTCCTGGACATAACTCTAAAAGCATAAGAGGTATCAACATGAAAACTTTGTAGGTAGATAGATCTCATTGAGTAGGTGTGCAGTGCACAAGAACCGTAACTCTGCCTTGCCTGATTTTTGAATTATCCCCTTTGTTTATTTTACACTTTGAACTTTGTCCGGGATATTAACTCTAAAAGTATAAGAGGTATCAACATGAAACTTTGTAGGTAGATAGATCTCATTGAGTAGGTGTGCAGTGCACAAGAAACCGTAACTCTGCCTTGCCTGATTTTTGAATTATCCCCCTTTGTTTATTTTACACTTTCAACTTTGTCCGGGACATAACTCTAAAAGTATAAGAGGTATCAACATGAAACTTTGTAGGTAGATAGATCTCATTGAGTAGGTGTGCAGTGCACAAGAACCGTAACTCTGCCTTGTCTTATTTTTGAATTATATATCCCCCTTTGTTTATTTTACACTTTGAACTTTGTCCGGGGACATAACTCTAAAAGTAAAAGAGGTATCAACATGAAACTTTGTAGGTAGATAGATCTCATTGAGTAGGTGTGGCAGTGAACAAGAACCTTAACTCTGCCTTGCCTAATTTTTTAATTATCCCCCTTTGTTTATTTTTTTACACTTTGAACTTGTTCCAGGACATAACTCTTAATGTATAAGAGATATCAAACATGAAACTTTGTCGGTAGATAGATCTCATTGAGTAAGTTTGCAGTGCACAAGAACTGTAACACTGTCTTGCCTACTTTTGGAGTTATTGCCCTTTGTTCATTTTTGAAACTTTGAACTTTGTCTGGGACATTACTCTAAAATTATAAGAGATATCATACATGAATCTTTGTAGATAGATAGGTCTCATTGGGTGAAAGTGCAGTGCTTAAGAATCATTACTCTGCCTTGCCTTATTTGAAGTAATTGCCCTTTGTTTATTTTTACTTTTTGACTTTTGACCTGGACATTACTTTAAAACTATTAGAGATATCAACATGAAACTTTATAGGTAGCTAGATATATTTTGATAGAACTGCAATGCTTAAAGAACCTAAACAAAGCCTGGTCTAATTTTGGAGTTATTGCCCTTGTTCATTTTTACACTTTGACTTTTACCCTGGACATAACTCTGATATCATCAGGAAACTTTTTTAGATAGATAGATCTCATTGAATAGAAGTGCAGTGCAAAAAAACATAACTCTGCTTTGCCTAAATAATGAGTTTTTGCCCTTTGTTCATTTTTTTTATACTTTCCTGTGTCCAGAACCTTCTCGGGGAGCATCACCCGGTTCAACCGGTTCTTGTTCCTAATGGGAAGCGGAATTCTGTGATGTGTGTATGTGGTCGCACGGTCACTTTCCTTTCACATGTCCTCCGACTCGATTCGTTCATGTCTGGCAACACGGTCAAAATCTCAAAATGACAACGATTTCAAAGGTTTGAGAAGCTTTCTGGTGCCTGATCTTAGTGTTCTATATAAAGCATACATGTTATAAGGAGTATTTTTATTTTAATTAGGACTTTGTTTTCTCCTTCATTTATATAGATATTTGAGAAACAAACAAAACTAATTAGAACTGTGTTACTCCCAGTTACAACTTATTAGGATTTTTAACCCCTAATTAGGAGAAATTAGCCTAATTACGACTTTGTAACTCTTTATAAGGGGTTTATAAGACTTATAAGAAGAAATAAAATTTAAATTAGAAATTTGTTTGTCTTTATTATGACAATATCATACAAAGAAAAAAATTATAATTACCATTTTCAATTTAGACGAAATATATCATTAGCCGTATTAATCTATATAATAATAACAATAATAACAATAATAATAATGATGATAATAATAATAATAATATATTATTATTATTATTATTATTATTATTATTATTATTATTATTATTATTATTATTATTATTATTATTATTATTATTATAAAGAAGGTAACACATGAAAATATACCTTCGTAGAAAACAAATAATATCTTTATTTTAAATGTGGCCTTCTAAACAATATATAGAAACATATTAATACATGTTATGAATATTCAACTCACGAGCAATATTTGTATAATGCAAAGAAAAGTAATGTCGTCGTGTTTAATGAAACTGATAAACATTACCAGAAAACTTCAAGAAAATGGAAATTAGGCCCAGATAAAGTGCTAGAAACAGATAATTATCTTCATTTAGGAATTCCGTGTAATAAGAATATGTGTCTCAATAAAAATATCAAAGAAGCATGTACAAAACTGCGTAAAACGTATTTTAGTTTATCAGACTGTGGCGTGCATAATTCTGGAATACATCCTATCTCAGCAAAACACCTCTATGAAAGTATAGTATTACCTAGAGCTTTATTCGGTTGTGAACTTTGGTCCAATATAACAAAGACTCAAATAAAATCGCTCGAGGTTGTTCACAGACAATGTGTAAAATATATGCAGTCATTACCTCGGTT